GGAGGCAGTGGAAGACAGGAGGGCCTGGGTGCTCTGGTCCATGAGGTCACGAAGAGTTGGACATGACTTAACAACAACATTTATAAAGCTTATTAAGTACACTGAAATTCTGGACTTGTTTCCTCCAAAATAAATCACCCTCAGAAAAGCAGCTATATATAGGAGTGCAGACTTTAAATACATATTTTATACACTACATAAAGTGTATACACACATTTCACTTATTTGAAATGTAGTGTTGGAAAAGAGTTTTACAGATAGCATGACCTGTCAGAAAGATAAGTAAAGCAAATTAAGTGTGGACTTTCACTACAAGCTAAAATAACCAAACAAAGGGTACTGAACTACCATCCTAAGAAGACAAGCTCACTGGAAAAGGCAGCAATGCAGGAAAAAGTGCAAAGCAGTAGGAAAAGTGAAAGACTGCACATGAGATGGATTGACATAATAAAGAAACCCACACTCTTTTGTTTGTAAGACCTTTTGTTTGGTACTGCAGTCCACAGGACCAGGAGCAGAAAGACTGGGATTCAGATTTTGGGAATAAACTGTGATACTCTTGCCTGCTTTGGGGATGAGAAATAGAGAAACGCAATTGCTACACACTTCAGATTTCTGCTGTTCTCAGCAAACTCCAGAGCTAAATGCAGTGGAGAGTAACAGTTTTGAGTCTCTCTTACACACACACAAAAATTTTCCTAGGTTTTGAGCCACTTTTCAGTTTTGACTCTCTCTCTCACACACACACACACAAACAATTTTTCCTAAACTTTTAATTCCACAGAACCCTTTGACAAGGAAAAAAAACAAGTTCCCAAAGAGACACTCTGCTTTGATGAAATAAACTCAGGGTAATATTTATACCAGATAAAAGTGTACACACACACACTCCATTTTGTAGATACATTTAAACATTCTTGATGTACGTTCCTTCCCTCCCTCCTGCAGCCTTTCCCTCCTGCTTGCAAAGTCAAAACCGGGCGGGGCCGGAAGGAATCATTTGACTTCTGGGGGCCAGCTGTAACCAATCAAGCAGGCTTATCTCCGATCTTTTAAAGAGATCTCTTTAAAAAGGAGTGCCAGAACCCAGGAAATTAGCAAGAAGAGGTGGCTGACAATGTTTTGAGGTTTGGCTGTGGGGTGCGGGTAGCGGGAGGTAGTGCTCTGCTTGCGTGCCAAGGGAGATGTCTCTGCATGCCACAGGCGGCACGTGTGCCTAGGTTCGCCATTGCTGACCTACATGCTCTAATACTGCAGTCTGTAGGAGAACATGTTATCAGCCTGTGGTACAGTGATTAAACTGCAGTACTGCAGTCAAGCCTCTCCTCATGATCTGGGTTTGGTCACAAAAGGTTTAGTAAGCTGGCTCAAGGTTGACTCAGCCTTCCATCCTCCTAAGGCTAATAAAATGAGTACCCAAATCACCGGGGTGGTGGTGAAGTGTTGTTTGCACAATAGTGTTGTAAACCACCCAGACAGTGTTTTAGCACTATGTGGCGCTGTAGGAAACAGCCCTGACCTTACCTGCCCGTCACTGCAGAACATTGACGCGGGAGCCAATGAGAGAATGGAAGGCGGAGCCACAGAGAGGAGAAGGGGAGAAAAGAAAAAAAAAGAGACCGGTGGAGAGAGTCTTGGGAGAGACTGTGTGGTTTGAAAGGAGTGTAGTGTGAGTTAGAGAACTGAAAGCGTGGAGATTGAAACAGAGGGTTAAAAGAGGTAAGAAAAAGTATTCTAATAGATCCAATATAAGTAATTTACATCCAGTAATTGATTTTATTTGTCCTCACTGATTAGCATCTTCCCTTGTTAAATAAATGATTTGTGTTTTGGCATCACACGTGTCCTGACTTTGACTTGATATTAATGCATTAATATCTGGTGGCAGCGAGGAAGAAAGAAGAGCGTAAGCCATGTGAAGACCAGGGGAACAGGGAATTCAAAGGCGATCACGGCAGGCGCTATATAAGTCAAAACAACAGCAAACTATATTAACAAAAAGGTCACACTATATTGGTATAGCAGAGATTGGAAGACATGTCCATTCCTCTCACTAACCGTTACAATCCTAAGGACCACAAAAAAAGGACTTGAAAGTTTCTGACTTGATTTCTTACATGTTCTATAAGACAGAAAAGCTATTGCCATAAGATGAGAAAGGAAATGAAAGCAGCAGAGTCAGCAAATATAAGTGGGCACAAATATATCTATTACCAGATACTTTGCAGTTTGAAAAGGACTCACCCTGTAAAATGTCTTGAGAACAATCCACTGTGACCAGGTCAGGTTTAATCCAAGTAACTGGAATCTCTTTAGGTTTGGTACTACCCACTACCACCATATCAGCATCTTGAAGCTAAGAGGAATATTGAAGAGTGGGATGTCACACAACAGGTAAGACAGAAACAAAAGTGAAAATCATTAATTATATTCTCATATGAACACAGAAAATACAGCTTTGATGCTATGCTTAATTCAGTGAGGTAAGAAAACAAAGTTCACATAAATAAGAAACAAATACATATTCATTAAAAACAATTAAAGCATTTAAACACAATTTGTATTGCATTAAAATAACAAACCATATTTAAAAAGATTACTTTTTAGTAGCTAGGTTAAAATTGGCATTTTGAAAACTACACATTTTGAAAATCTCTTTAAAAGGCAAAATACAAAAATGAAGTTAATGGTCAATTCAGTTAAATTCAGTTTCCTTTTATATATACAGCACAAAGCTCCCTTTGTTGTTGTTGTTTCTGCATATCTTTTTTTTTACCCCTGCAGCAGGCATACATGTGTTTCAGTGGCTTTTCCCAAGTTGCCTGCAAGTAAAACTAGAGAGAGTTGGTCCAGAGGGAGAGGGGGATGGTTAGATTCAGAGGAGAACACGCCCCCTCCCTTTCCAACAGTGGTGTAGAAGTAGAAACTTCAGCAGGTATAGCTTGAACAACTTGTACCTAATGAAATTCCTTCTTCTGCACAACTATCAAATGCGCAGGAGTCCTTTCTTGGTTGCAGCTGGGTATGCTGTGTGATAATGGACTACATTTTAGGAACTGGAAATTTAGGAATTTGCCAGTTCTTGACATATAAACTTGGAAAGGTCACCATACAGTCTTCTTCCGGCACCATTAATTGGAATTTCCATGGAAGATGGAAACTCCTAACTAGTCCTCCATAAGACCTTTTTCACTAGACAGCTGGCCCAGTCCTGTCACAGCCACAAAGTTAGTGCATGTGTGCATGATATGTGATAAGGGTCATATTTCCTTTGTAAATGGCTCTTACACTCACTTGAATGGGGACACGCAAATGGCTATATCTCCGGGGAGTCATTTTTTTAATGTCACCCCAAACTTTTCAAGACGGCCAATCACAAGGAGAGGATTTATCACTCCAAACTAAAGACAGGCAGCTTTTCAAGTCTGGGCACAAGCCACCTTCAAAATTTGCTCGTTATCTAAATTTCTTCCCCTTCTTCAAAAGCTGCTGCTGTTGGCTATTCAATCCTGCCTGCTCAGGAATGGGCATGTTTTGTATTGGAGGTCAGGTGGGGAGATGGGGAAGGTTCCGTTTCATGCAGCAGGCAAGGCAAGTGGCAAAGAGAAAAAGCAACCTCCCTCAGAGGGGGAAAACGGATGGGTTTGTGGGAGAAAAACGGGAAGAAAAGCAGAAGAGCTAACCATGTTACTCTGTGCTAGCAGATCAAACAAAACATAAACAAACAGATTAAAAAGTCTGAGGACTCTTATGTCTGAGGAAGTGGACTTGTCCATTAAAGCTCACATTAAAATATAGCAGTTAGTCTTTAAGATGCAACAATGTTTTTGTCTTCTCTATTTTTTTATTTTTCTTTTGGTTTTGCCTGAGATGTATAATGATAAAACTGATCAAAGCCTAAGCACTCAAAACCCAGAGAAGAAAGCAAGCACCCAACAGAATCACACAAATCAGTAGGTTCTAAATCAAAGTGAAACTAAACAACGCAGTGCAGCAAATGCCCTAAGCTAGCCAGCATCTAAGCCAGTGGTTCCCATCCTTGGGTCCCCAGATATTTTTGGACTACAACTCCCAGAATCCCTGGCCAGCACAACTAGTGGTGAAGGCTTCTGGGAGTTTTAGTGCAAGAATATCTGGGGACACAAGGCTGGGAACCACTCACCTAAAGAAACTGAGGAGAATGATGGGGTGGAGAACAATACGGTATCCTCCCCAAACTCTCAAGAGAGTGGAGATTTCCAAGAGGTCTTCTATTTTCACTGTAAAGTGATACTGCCAGTCAGCAAAGTGCAGTTCTCTCTCCTTTATTGTCTGTTTCTCTTTTTCCAGCCTGCTAGTGCACCTTTTTAAAATGTTAACTCTATTTTTTTCTCGTGCAATCCAGGATGATCCCAAACAGCATCAGGGCTGGGTGTGGGCTGTTTGCTTAGATCCAGCATGCACTTGGGTTGACACAAACAGCCACAATCACACATAGAACTTGGCATTTGGCTGAAGATGGTGTACAGCCCCAATAGACAATTTGGGAAATTGGGAAAACCCCAGTACTTCAGTTTTAAGGGATGTCTGCATGCCATGCTAACAGTAATGGAAAAGTAAGAAATCCCTTTTCAAAAATTCTATTACAGCGATTTATGTTACCTAGTACTGTACCTGTTTTTGTCATACACAGATAGAAAGCACCACTTTTAAAAATTAGTTAACATGTGGCTACTTTAGCAGTTTTCATGTGGTGGGTATGGCTTGTTTGAAAGTATCCATATGAAGAATTTACAAGAAAAAAGTGAAAAAGAACACACAATAGAGAGAAGATTCCTAATACAGTATAAGCTCTGGTCAGTAACATTTTTTTCACAATATGTACAGTACACTGGGGAATCTTTCTGAGGAGTTCCCATTGATTTCCACTTGGCTTCCTGTATAGCTTTTTAAGCTCAAATTCTTTTCTACTAAAAAAAATAGAAGAAAAAGCCATCTCGTATTTGGGAGTAGGGCCCACAGAACCCACAGGGACATACTTCATATTAGGCACACACATTGGACAGTGTTATCTGAAAGAGATCTCCAATAGATTAACTTACTAAACGTAAAAAATAAGTTAATGGTGGACTTTCAATTAAATGGTCAAGTTCATCTCCTCGCAAATGCATCAAACAGTATCCAAACAGAGTGTGAACCTGATGCAGAACAGATGCCATTGGTAATTGCAAGCAAATGCTATAGGAGATAACAGCGAAGTGCTAACATACATCCAAAAGATAACTGGTAACATGTTGTAAAATGCTTTAAAATCTATTATTGAGAAATTTGTGCAAAAAAATGAGAAACTGTCGCATGAAACAATCTGCTAAACAACATCTTCTGAATAACGCTCGGTGTCAAGGGCACAAACTGTTCTCGCTGGCATTTTCTCTCACCAGTCTGGATGAGATTAATACCAATAAATATGTTGAAACTTTAGCTTGGAGCACCACATAAGCTAACTCCAAAGACATTTATATTGAGACAGCCTTAGGAGAACTGCCCAGTCCCAAGATAAAAGGCTAAATGCTAAAATAACAAGGAATACAGGCACTGTATATAGGCCAAATATGAGAATGACACAGTGTAACTGTATAGTTCACATAATTGGAAAGCCTGCTTACCAAGAGAGCTGCATAAATATTACTTTCTCCTACAGTTGGAGTCAATTTCTTAAAATGACAGAATAAAACCCCATGATCAAATTAAAGTTAAAGTTAAAACAGTAATCAGTGCAATAAGGGAATGTTTTTGCTAAGACTGATGTAGGTACATTTTAATTAAATAAATATATGGGATGTTGAAAACATTAGAAATGGGTAGAGCCATGTGCAGTAGGGGCATACTCAAATATGGACACTTTACATTAAACATTTTATTTTCTTGGATTTTTTTTAGATGAAACATAACTTCAACTTCATTTCACAAGGAGTGCTCATTTGAACTCTGCAAAATATCACTTTTATTTATTTTTATTTATTTATTTATTTATTTATTCATTCATTTATTCATTTATTCATTCATTCATTCATTCATTCATTCTATTTATATCCCGCCTATCTGGTCAATTACGACCACTCTATCTTGTTACGAAGAGAACAAGTCCACTTGGTTACAATTGTAAATATTGTAAATTGTAAATAAGGCCAGGGAACTAACAACAACAGTAGTAAGAGCAGCTGTAGCAGTTGTGGACTGTGTCCTATGTTGAGTTTGCACTGGTAGAAAGCACTTCTGCTTACACAAGGCAGGTACCTAAGTTTATTAATTCTCTCCACCTCTTGCATCCCTCTGCAGCCCTCCAGAAGTGATTGCAAATCCATCTACTACAGCTCTTAGTCCATATCCTCCGGGACCACAATGTGATATAGTGTATGAGCTGTAGTAGATGCATTTGCAACTGTGTTCTACTAATGCAGAGTCAAAACTAGATACAATACTGTCCACAGTTGTTATTGTTGTTTAGTCGTTTAGTCATGTCCGACTCTTCATGACCCCATGGACCAGAGCATGCCAGGCCCTCCTGCCTTCCACTGCCTCCCGGAGTTGGCTCAAATTCATGTTGGTCGCTTCGATGACCAACTGTCCACAATATTTTACTATATAATCAGGTTTTTATTCCATCAGGTGAGTCAGTTCAACATTTAAGTTTGATGTTTCTTTGTAACTTCATAACTTTTCACTAATACATGGACAATTAACAAGACAACAATGAAGGCCATCATGAGGTTATAATGGAAACTCAGAGAAGTTAATGTCTAGTTGATGGCAGTTATCAGTATGAAACAGTAGTATATGTGTCTTCTGTCAGCTTCTGTATCTGTAAATTTATTCATTCCAAACCAGCAAGTTTTGGAATCATATACGAGTCATATATGCAGAGACAAGTTTCTGTGCAACAATCACTCTTCCGGATACAAGCCTGTATTTCCCAAAAGGCTTATGGCACATGGGAACTCTTGCATTCTGCATGCATCAGCAGATAACTGGTTCTGTCAGCCCTGACGGAAAAGGTCACAGAGGCAGGGTGAGAAATCTAGAGAGTTTTCCCTAATGGGTGCTTTATGTTCTCAGAGATTCTAACATGAATCAAAGGTTTTTGAAAGGAGATGATCTTGCATGGCTGCAAATGCGCTGGTGTCCTGTAAGTGTTAATGTCAAACTAGCACTGAAGAAGCCCCAAATTCAAATTCCTACTCAGCCATGAAGTTTGCTTGGTAACCCTAAGCCAATCATTATTATTCAGCACAGTGTTTACGGGAGGATAAAATTGTTTTTGCATGTGTTAGAGAAGAGAGAAAGAGAGGCTGGCTACAGAGGTGTTTAGCCTGCCGT